CCCGGGTCGTCGGGGTGTCCGCTGCAGCTCCGTCGACGTCCGCGGATTAGTCGTTGGAAAGATAAAAAATATGAATATGCAATGTACCTACTTATTTGAAATTTGTTATTTACTAGTTAACGTGATGACTGAGGTAGTTGATTTAGTTAGTGATCTAGTGCGATATATATGTATATAGATAGAAACATAGATACATAGGTACATAGATATAGTTAGATAGCTACTTAGATAGATAGTTACATATTTAGTTAACTAAATAGGATATAGCTATTTAGTTAGTACACTGTATCTATGTAAGTAGTTGTTATCTTATTTACTTAGTTTGTAGCTAGAAAGTACTTGTTAGGTAGTATGTATCGTCTAATTTGGACTAAAGGACACGTATTTCATTATGTGTTTGAACTAGATGGATAACCTAGTGACCATATATCATGGAGGCACCATTGAATACGATCGCTATAGATATGTTGAGTTTGTTGAAATGCAAATCGTGGTTGTGCTATTCAATGATAGGCCTTCATTTAGTGAGATGGTTGCAAGGGCTTGGGAGGAGCTGCATTGCCTTGGAGATGATGGCATTGCAGTTGATGGTGTACTGTACCTAGGTTCTACTCCCAACATCCTCAGGAGATGATGTCATTGCAGTTGATGGCATTGCAGTTGATGGTTGCATCTGTACTCTTGTCTCCTCCCTTGTCGAATCCTCCTCTAATGTCATCCGTCTCTCCAATCCCCATTTGTTAAGTCCAATATCGATCGGGTTATAAATACCGCGCTTTCTAGCAAACTCACGCATCTTTTCTTTGTGATGTTTAACGAATAGGTTGACGTAGTCAGGTCCATATCCCTCTTCCGTGCAATTACTTGCCTCCCCTTCAGTTCATCCAAGAACTTAGCTTGACCATTATAACATTCCCACCTGCATTTCCCAGTGCTCTGTTCAAAGGAAATATTATATCATATATGTCTTAGAAAAAAAATAAAAATACGATTTCATGTTTACTACAAAAATAACCAACCTCATCATACTCAACCATATGGCCGCAATAATGGCCTATTTCAAGCTCCAAAGGGACTAGGCCATAGTTGGATTTAACACCACATTCGCACATGACAGGAGGTGCTTTGTAAATTACCCTTTCTTTCTTCTTTTCCTTAACCTTTCGTGGTTCTTCCGGCCATTGGTCTTTAGGACCATACAACCACTCCTTCAAGCGACACTTCGCCATTGAAAACATCTAAATAAGGTGACATTAGTACATGAATACATATAGCTCAACATTTCAACACATACACTTTGCACTTACTTCATGCTTGTTTGGACACACAAACTCCAACGTATTCTCAGAGTTTATCACAGCTCGATCTCCACAAATCGCACAGAGGAGGTTCTTCGAGTCGTCTAACTGCGGCAAGGTGCTTCTCCTTAGCCATCATTGGTGGAGGGTTAGGGGGTGGAACCCACCGCTTGAAGTACTCACGTGGATGTCTCCCTCTAAACCAATCGTTGAAAATGAGGTACCTAGGATCAAACTTGTCTACACCGTCAATCCACTGAAAGAAAAGGCACCTCTCATGGTCCTACACAATGAGATTCCAACAAAATATTAGTAGCATACTTACACAAATAAAGAAAAAAGATAGTGAAAATAATTTCTTACATAAAAACGACTACATATGTAGAAGCACCGCGCCGCTGTGTCCGGATGTTTCGATCGAAAAACATGAGCCGGAAAACCACAGTCACAGTTAGGGACAGGGAGGTCAGGAGGGACGGGGGCATCTTTGCTAGACGCGTCGGAGTATAATTCTCGAGGACGACCCCGTTTTCACCAAAACTCCTCCCGAAATATTTCTTGCATCTAACAAAACGGATGTAATTTAACAAACATAATTCAAAACATCATAAATAAATGTCAATGAGAACCATAATTACAATACAACCAATTTCATTCTAAAAACCGAAAGCAATTAACATTAAACCCTAAACCTAGGGTTTCCCATTTGATGTACAACAATGAACCCATAACATAACTACATGCGCCTAGGTTTGCTAGCTTTTTCAAGCATTGGCATCGTCCTACGGTTGTATAATAGAAATATTGAGGGGTAGAATGAAATCCTAAGTAATGACGATTCTTAGGTTGAAAAATCTGACTAATATATACCGAATCGATGCGAAAAAAACTACGAGGGAAGCGAGGATATCTTGCTCTCGAAGATCTACGGATCAAATCAAGGTTTTCAAGGTCCAATATGTCGATTAGTGAGGTAGGGCGAAATGGGGAGAGAAAAAATCCAAGTGGGAGGGGAAAGAAGAGGAAGAAGGCTCGGACAGGAAGGTTGGCCCGGGGTTACGGCGCCGAGCTCGGCGCCAGGGTGCCATGTCACCTCCATGTCGGTCTTGAGCCCAAGAGCTGGCGCCGAGACGTGTTAGCTTGACGCCAGCATCGATGGTGCCGAGATAAGGATCCAGATTCTAAAATCTTTTCTCCAGGGACGTATTTGTGAAAAACTTAAAAAAAAAACTAAAAAGTAAAAAATTCGGTCCCAGGCCAGAAATTTTTGTTCAGATGCTGAGGAGTGACCAAAGTCACACTGATGGCTGCCGTCCAAGTTGCTCCCTGCTAAAACGCAGAGAACATGGCTTGATTAATAACCTGATCCTTGTATTCTTCTACTACACAGTGGTATGGGCTGCAAGAACATTGTGATTGACAAATACGTATACCTCCAAATCCAAATAGGATTTGACTTTGGGAGACGTCATCGTGTACGCGCGCGCAACAGATGGATGCATAGCATAGCGTGTTGGACGATCGGTGGAGGTGGATCGGAGCCGCCCGCCACTTCACTCCCTGTGAAACGCATTTTCACGTGTTTGACATGGTCACCTGAGGCAATATATTATATTATATTGTGCACTTGCTTATCCGCACAATTCCGTGGACGCCCGGCGCAATCCACGTCGGCGACACATACACACACACACCTTGTGCTGTTCTGCAGCGTAGACGACAACCTCAGCGGCGGCGAGCTTTCACGTGCTCCAGAGGAGAAAAACAAACACTTGCCGCACCGCAGCGGCTAGGAAGGATCAATCAAGATATATATGCTACACGGAAACCGCGGTGAAAGGGGGAAAATAGTCCAGCCGCGCACGATGCAGATGCAGATGCATATGCATGTGCATCCACCACCTTTTGCCCTTTTGGTCTTGGATGGGAAGAGCAAGGTGGGGGAAGGAGCATGGAACGAACGGGAAAGGTGCCGACAAAAACCCGCGTCCCTCCAGTGTCCAGATAAGAGCCTGTACACGCAAGACCTATTTTATGCTGCCGCGCTCCCGACAAGCGCACAAGAGTTACCACGGGCTAACCGTAGTTTAAATCCTCGTTAACCATGAACATAGCCCGTGCGTTGTCGTGTGGGATTAACAGATGATTTAATTACTTATATGATGAAGGGATAAACTATTACTCCGTCCATTCTTTTTTAAGGCACAACTTGGTATGGCATGATGTTCCAAATTACACTTTAGTCATCTATTTATTTTATTTTATATATATTTATAAATTTATGATAATTGGATAGTACAATTAATTATAAATCTAACCATATCAAGTTTATGTAATACTAATTAGAATCTGTAGTTAAATTATTGCTCAAAGTTTTTAAAGCTTAGTTTAAATCTTGATATGTGCCTGTAAATTATAAACGAGCAGGCACATATCCAGCGGTGGAGCAGGTGGAGCTCTAGAGTCTAGCACCCCCTACGGCTGCCGGACCCATGGAGCCCCCTAGGATTTTTTTTGCCATGGATACACCTTAAGGAGAGGTTGAAACAATGTGGAAGTTGATGAAGCCCCACTAGACATTTCCCTGTATCCGTCCCTGTAAACGAGAATGGACGTAGTATAAATTAATGTTAGTAGATGATTTGGTACCCCGATGTGAATAGCTAATGATGTGTTTGGTTTGAGGAGCCACTCCATCCTATACGAGGTGATGTATCGTGGTTCCATTTCTCAAATTTGGTGGGATAACTATATTCCTCGTTCTAGTACTGATTATTAGTCTGTGAGGATTGATGTGATGATGCATCAACCTGTTCCATCCCATAAACCAAACAAAAAATGGAAAATGAGTAGATGATAGACTAACTCATTCATCAAACCAAATACCCTATAAATGTCTGTTCGCTTCGCTAAAAAGCCAGGCTAAAAAGTACTGTTCGCTGATTTGTTGTCAGAGAAAAACACTGTACCATGACTAATAAGCCAGGCCGATAAGTTCAAGCAAACAGGCATGTACTCCCTTCTCACAAAACAAGTGTCGTTTGTGTAGAGTTTGACTAGATTTATAAAAATTAGCAACGTTTCTATATGCAAATAAGTTTATTATAAAATATATTCGACAATTAATCTAATGATGTTTATTATGCACATAAATATTGATATTTTTTTATATTTAGTCAAAGTTAAAAATATTGACTTCCCGAGATGCGAGAATAACACTTATTTTAGGATGAGGGAGTATATCATAATTGCATAGGCTAAGTGAGCTGTAATTGCAACTAACAGTGGATTGTTTAGATAGACAACTTATTATATAGATATGAGTATATCGAGATAGAATCTCTAGTGAAATCCTTAGATACAAATGGACCTACTTATTATCTACCCGAGTGTCAACATAATTAAGAGTTAATCTTTTGAGTGTTATTTTTTCAATTTTTTTATTGATACTACTCGAGTTACCACGGAGGAACGACATGCCGGATCGCAACGTCTTTCTCTTTTCCTCCATGTGCCAGCGCACGTGAGGGCGATTAGCCGTAGCCGTTAGATTAGTGGATGTGGATCAACCCCATCCCCTTCCCATCCGCCCTCTATAAACCACCACCTCCCTCCATAGCGCGCCGCTCAAGCACACTGCAGCAGATCAGAGACACACACACGGACACGGACACAGCCGCGCACAAATCAGAGCGGGCGAGGATGAAGGTGGAGGTGGTGGAGACGACGCTGGTGCCGCCGAGCGAGGCGACGCCGCGGCACGCGCTGTGGCTGTCCAACCTGGACCTGGCGGTGCCCAAGACCCACACGCCGCTCGTCTACTACTACCCGAGGCCGCCCGACGCGCCCGCCGGTGCCGGGGAGGAGGGAGAGGGGGAAGGGTCGTTCTTCGACCCGGCGCGCCTGCGGGAGGCGCTCGCCAGGGCGCTGGTGGCGTTCTACCCGCTGGCGGGGCGGCTCGTGGTCGGCCAGGGCGGCCGGATCGAGATCGACTGCACGGGCGAGGGCGCGCTGTTCGTCGTCGCGCGGGCCGACTTCACCGGCGACGAGATGTTCAGGGACTTCGAGCCGTCCCCCGAGGCGCGCCGCCTGCTCGTGCCCTTCGCCGCCTCCGGCGATCCGCCCTGCGTGCTCGCCATGGTCCAGGTGCGCGCTGCCGTTGGCTCCTTGCTTTGATTGCTTCACCCCTCGGAGGCTTGCTTGCTTGACTGCTGAATCAAAATCACCACGGGGTCTACGTGTACGTTTTCAGTTTTCACCGTCCTGGTCGTCCGGTAATCCGGTTCATAATTAATTAATTATAAACTGTCCTTCGTGCCGGCTTCCGCTTTGTATCGCGCGGCAACGTCGGTCCGTAAAAGATGAAAAAAAACCGGGGTCAGAAGACGCCTAGGAGGAGGCTAGAACCATAGGATAATCAATCAACTGCTGGCTCGTGGGGCCACTTGCTCTCGTGTCTCTATTGCTCGTGGGGCCCACCGGGACAGGACAGCGGGGTACATACAAACGGACGGAGTGGGACACGCTGGTGGTCGGACACTCGTACTGTACTGTACCACTAGTTAAGCCCGAATCAATACTTGTCGAGCGGCGGATGCTCCGAGAAGCTTTACGGAAAATTAGTTTTATAGCACTAAAGATCCACATATAACCCTGCCAAATTGAATAAGTATATATATAAACATTAAAATTAAAACCTTTATCTAAGAATCAATTAGATTCGCGCCTGCCCCGGTCGACGCGGCCGTCAAGTGCATCTTTTTTTTTTTATTAATCTGATGTCTCGGAACCGGGCGTCGAGTGCATTGGCGCCACCCAAGGCGACGAGCGGGGATCACGCGATGCTGCCGGTTCGATCCTCGTCACGTCACTGGGGCCCGCGGTACTGGGCCATGGACGCTTCCGGGCCGGGCTCGACCGGGGCGAGCCGAGGCCGGCTGCGCCCCCTCGTGTTAGCCACCTCGAACCAGCAGCAGCAGGCACGTTACGCCTACGGAATGGACTTCGTCGCAGTTGACTTTTGTCTAGGCCGTTTCGTAGGTTACTGGGAAGAGCAGTTTTTTTTTTTTTATCACTACTGGGAAGAGCAGTTGGCTGAACATCCAACCGACGATCGATAGGGCTGGGCTGGTCCCAGAACACACGGATGAGCAGGCCATTCGTGATTCTCAGCGACCACTGCTGCTCAGGACAGAGGACGGCTCGGGGTCAATAATTTGCCCGCCGGTCGGTGCAACGAACTGTCAGCTAGTATGCAGTTATCGGTACTAATCACGCAGTGTACGCACTGGTACATCTATGGGGTCACTTTGACGGTGGGTGATCGTGACAGCCAACCGTTGTCAAGATGCACTCCAAGCAGCCGAACAGGCCCATTTACTAGTTTTCACCGTCAAAAGATTCCTTTCGTTCACCGAAAGCAGGAAGACGATAAGATGGGGAAGTCACTAAAAGTGTTGGGCACGGCAAGACTAGCTACAAATCGGCCAAACACTCCTGATTAGGATGCAAAATTTGCTCAAAATTTAATGATACGAAAGTAAACTGCAGCGCTTGATATTGCAGTGTCTCTCTGCATTTCTTTTTCCAAAAAAAAACACGCAGCGAAAGGCAAACTAATCATGCCCATGCGTGCGACTCTCCAACTCGTATCTATCCGTATTTCCGGTGTTCCAAATCCCATTCCCCATGAATAACAGTTCAGAGACCATTGCTTTTTGCTTCTAGACTGATCCAATCATTGAGATGCACAAAGATGTGGTTGTGCCCGCCACTCTTCTCCCTGGCCTCCTTATCCCTTTGCCCTTACGTACCTCGCACACAGACGGCCATGCTTCCTGGATCAGGAGGAATTCTGGATGTGCTTGCAGACGTGCTCGCTCCGCTCAAACTGAAGTAAAATGAAAAAAAAAAACTCCTTGCCACACCAGAACCGTCATGATCGATAGTGCCATCGATCTCAGCCAAACCAAAAAACAAACAAACAAACAAAAACAAAAACAAAATCCTTCCCACACCATAACTGTCGGGATAGATTGCGACGGCGATGCCGATTGTGTCGAATCGATCAGAATCGCCGCTTCCGTGTGGCCGGCGCCGGTATGGGGACGCCGCTACGCTGCGACGAAGCGCCGCCCGTCGTTGATGGATGCCTGACGGTGACAACGAGGTTTATCGCGGCATGGCCCTGGGCGTGGCCGATGTTTTCAAGATGTTTGCAAATTGGCCTAGCGATTGCTGTCATGATGCGAGCAAGCTTGATTTGGATCCTCGGGAGGTGGACTACAAATTGGCCTAGCGATTGCTGTCATGATGCGAGCAAGCTTGATTTGGATCCTCGGGCGATGTACAGAGACTCAGAGAGAGACAAGATGATGGGATCGGCACACCTTTGTTGACAAAATTTGGACAGTGGAGTTTACCTTGTTTTTGTCTTGTTTGCCTCTGCTTTTTAAAGATAAGTGTGTGATTAGAGCGCGCCTTTTTTTTTTGTCTTACCATCATAAGGTTTTTAGTAGTAGCTTGGCCGCTGCAACTTGCAAGTCAAATCACCTTTGGCGCTCCGAACAAATTGGGACCCTCTTTGAGTGCCCAATTTTTGTTATTTAATTGAAGAAGAAAGATACAATAGATTGAACAATTTGGAATCTGCTGTCTGGAAATCCGTTTTGCATTGATCTGCTGCTTTTGGTGGGCAGATCGATAAACAATTAAGCTGGTGTGGTGTGAGTCAGAACATCATTCAGAATGTAATGTAATGTAACGAGGAAAAACTGAATCTTTGCAGGTCACCTTCCTCAAGTGCGGCGGCGTGGCCGTGGGCACGGGCATGCACCACGTCACGATGGACGGCGCGGGCGCGATCCAGTTCATCCGGACGTGGACAGCGCTGGCGCGCGGGGAGTCCCCCTCGTGGACGCCGTTCCACGACCGGACCCTGCTGCGCGCGCGCTCCCCGCCGCACGTGCCCTTCGAGCACCCGGTCTACTCCCCAGCGTACCTCAACGGGTCCCCGCGTCCCTTCGTGACGCGCGTCTACACCGTCCCGCCCAAGCTCCTGGCCGACATCCGGTCGCGGTGCGCGCCGGGGGCGTCCACGTACTGCGCGGTGACGGCGCACCTGTGGCGCGCCATGTGCGTGGCCCGTGCCCTCCCGGCCAACGGCGAGACGCGGCTCCGCGTGCCCGCCAACATCCGGCAGCGCCTCCGGCCGCCGCTCCCCGCCACCTACTTCGGCAACGCCATCGTGCGGGACCTGGTGACCGTGAAGGTGGGCGACGTGCTGTCGCAGCCGCTGGGGTTCGTGGCGGACCGGATCAAGCGCGCCGTGTCCCGCGTCGACGACGCCTTCGTGCGCTCCGTCGTCGACTACCTGGAGCTGGAGTCCGAGAAGGGCAACCAGGCGGCGCGCGGGCAGTTCATGCCGGAGTCCGACCTCTGGGTCGTCAGCTGGCTCGGCATGCCCATCCACGACGCCGACTTCGGCTGGGGCCGCCCCCGGTTCGTGGCGCCCGCGCAGATGTTCGGCAGCGGCACGGCCTACGTCACGCAGGGCTACGACAAGGACGACCCCATCAACGTGCTCTTCGCGCTCGAGCCTGAGTACTTGCAGACCTTCGAGAAGGCCTTCTACGGGGAGTGACCGTGGCCGACCAGCCATGGCGAGGTCTATAGAGGAGTCGGACTGTAGAAGCCTAGAAGGGAAGAGCTAGTCCACTGTGGATGCGATGTGATTGTGAGGCCATCGTGGTAACTTCCATCGGTTCGTGTGGAGAGTTGGTCCATGTGCATCTGCTTGGGTCTGTACTGTATTATGATGGTGCTGCAACTCAATGCTTACTGTGACACTGTCTGGGTGTCTGTATAAAGTGTGATAAGGTGCTTGGTTCCAGGTTTCTAGTATGCCAAAGTCACCAAACACATTCTGTCATAATATTAATATCTACTGAATCCGTTCCAAATTATAATTAGTTTGATTTTTTATCCTAAATTTGACCATTTGTCTTATTCAAAAATTTATGTAAAATATCATTTATTTTATTGTGGCTTGCTTTATTAACAAAAGTTCTTTAAGAATAACTTAAATTTGACTATGTTTGATAATTTTTTTAATAAGACGAGTGGTCAAACTTAGGGTCAAAAAAAAGTCATACGAATTATAATTTAGAACGGAGAGAGTACGTAAAAAAAAATGAATGACAAATTGAAAATGCACGGCTGGAAAAGGCATGTAGCTTCGGATACCTGTTTCTACTATCTTCGACGATGTGTTTAGCCAACTCACCAAAATTCTAGTGTATGTTTACACATCACTGAGGTTTTTGCATTTTGTACAGCTGCTTCGGGAAAAGATTGTTTGGGTATTTGATTTTTTAGCAAAGTTTGGGTATTTTTTAAGGCTTTTGCTCCAATACTTCTCTTTTAAAAAATTGCACGTATCTCAAAGCAACCCAGCTAATCTTCATGTCGGGGTTATAACCCCGAGATGTCCCAAGCCACCGATTAGTTACTGGGCCACGTGGCCCACAACGCATCAGCTAGCAAAGGCCCGAACAACCGAGGCCCAGCTGATTCAAGAAAACCAGGCCAAGCGCTAAGGCAAAGGCTGGCCACGATCCCTTCAGCGGACTTAGCCGAACGACGCACGAGAGACGCACGACCTGTCCACCGTCCAAACCCCTGGGAGGAACGGGGAGAGATCACGCCCAGCCAAACTTCCCCGCTCTGGCAAAGGTAGGCATGCTACTCTAACTTCGCAAGGACCGAGGGGACGGAGGTCACCTCGGTCCAGTCAGACGCCATCCCTGCGCCACGCTGTGCAGACAAGACAACACCGCGCGGCGATGATGACCAGTACAGCGATCCACCGTCCAAATACGGTCCGATAGGACGCATGTACGATACTGCCCACCACGGGATGGGATCCACGATGAAGGCCTTGACTTAGAGGCCATCCAGACCGACGGGAGTCATGACCTCGATGATCGGGATCGTGGCCCTCAGTTCTTCAAACCAACAAGGCGATCGACGACCTGGGGGCGGCTACCAACTCCTGTACGACACCCCAGGAAACCAAGGAGCGATGACAAAGACCACGGCGCGAACCACGTCGCATAGGACGGCTGTGCGAACCACCGCCGTGCCTACAGTGCCACAACGGTCGGCACAATAGCACCACGTCACACCATGCCACGACATGGCCACAAGACCATGACGACAGCAACGCCTAGACGTACTCCACAAGACGACGTAACATGCAAGCCAAGTTAGCTAGGACCTCCCTCAGGCTCACGACCCTTCGGTAGGGAGAACTTTCTTCTTTGTGTACGCCTTGGCCCCGAGCTCTATATAAGGGCAGCCAGGGCACCCCTCATGGGGATCCAACTCTCATTCACTCATTCTCACACCATAGAAGGGCTCCTGAAGCTTCTCTTCGGGCAGCCTGTCTCCTAGCTTTAGGTCTCCTACCTCTTCCACCATTCTTGCACCCCCCATTGTAAGAACTTCAGAGTATTCAAGCGAGGAACACGCACTCGATCATCTCTAAGACTAGACGTAGGGCTCCAGCCTGAACCAATATAAATTCTCCTGTCTTTTGGATGCTACCATCGTCTTCCTAGAGCAACGCGACAATCGTATAAATTTACTAGTCCGGTTTATAAAACGCCTACAATTGGCGCACCAGGTAGGGGACAGTCACGCACTCTCGTCGTTGAGCAGGAAGCGATGGCTCCTCGCACCGGCGGAATAGCCCACGGCGGCCACATCCGCCACGAAAACTATGAGTTCACCGGCGTCAAAGGGCCAGCGCCCGCGTCCGCCTACAACCACAGCCCAAACCTCCGCCATGGAGATCTGGGCTCCTTGGCCCGCGGCGGACACACTCTCGGAACTATTCCTGGCGGTAGCATCCCAGAGTTAACCTACATAGGGGGGCCAGTACCCTCTCTCATCACCGGTCATAGCCAAGCCCACCGCCCAGGAGGCCAGAAGTTCATGACTCGTGATGAACTCACCCAGGGAATGGCCTCAACCGACCAAATTCTTTTGGAAAACTGTGAGGTTATCCATACTAATGGGTCAACGCCCATCACCAGCTTCTACCCTATCTAGGCCAACCACATGGGAGGCCTAGGTCCGGTGGTAGAACCGTGCCCTGAGCAACGTCTCCGCAACCAGCGGAGCACCGCATGTCAGGGCATGCACGAACGACAAGATCACTCGCCGCCGCCACGCGCGATGTTGTCGTTAGTGATCAGGCGGCTACTCGGCTCCACGCCTCATAAGGCCAACTCTGGAACCAGGGTTCAATCCCGCATGACGAACAAGCCACCCGGCATGTCTTAGCGGACTGTCAGCCGCCACTCGGAAGCGCGCACATCCAAGGAAGTAGGTGCCCTGAACGCACAACGCGCCGCGCCGAGCGAACCGAAGCGCGCTACCCTCAGAACCTGCTTTCCGCGGCGACGATGTCGCCCGACCCTTCGTCGAGAGTAGCAATCGTGTCCAGAAGCGAGGGTACGGTGACCATGACGTCGACACTCCAGGAAGCCTCAAGTGTTAGGACGCGCGAGCCCTCCCGACTAGGAATCGCGATGGAATGAACACAAAGAAATCATCTACGGGGGCTCACGAGCCCGCTGAGGACGTCGAACCGGCAAGCAAGGCCGACCCGGAAGCCCGGAGGACGATCCTCGCCCGGCTATGACCCGTCCGAAGCGGCAAAGAAGCGTCATTACCAGCCCAAAGCCTAGGAGCCTCGACAACCTCGCCACAAGGGCGCTCCTCAAAGACGAGCAATAATAGCAATAGGGCGAGCATCCGCTTCTGAACAAGCATCGGTGATATCAATCATGTCCCTCTCTTCGTTATTTGATCACATTCACATACGTGCATAGATGCAACAACAAACCTGATTGACTAAAATGAGGCATATAATAGACTTAGGGACACAGACCCCATGTATTTCGCCTCAAAGGCATTTCACCTTCAAGGCGTCCCAACCCACTTCTCACGAGCGACCAAATATCACAGCCTGCGGGGGAGCTTACGTGAGGTCTCCTGCTAGCACACACTCTCGTCGCCTACGCCATGTAGCACTATAGAGACATGGCTCGACACGCAACCCCTAACCAACGTCCGCACACTGAGAGTAATCGTCCGTAAGTTGAAAGCATAGACCCGCTTACACCGAGCTAAGGCTAAAGTGACGTAAAAACAACAAGGGCGAGGCGACAGCATGAGCGAACAAAAAGTAAGGACTATCGATAAATCACACACATAGATAGTTTAAGCATTACATCTTTGCCTGCCGATGAAGTGCACGGGTCGGCAAACCAGGAGCATACAGTGCCACTTAGGAAACCTAGCTACATCCACAAAGACTACCCCTCGTCTGCACGATCGTCGTAGCGGCTTCCGCAGCGGTGGCTGAATCACCCATCAAAGCCAACCCATCTCCGGGCTCCGGGGGCCGTGCCCTGGTGGCGGTCTTCGCTCAATGGACCTTCTTGCGGAAGGCCCCCCTCTGCCACATGGCGGGATGTCACGAGCTACTCCTTCAGCACTGCAATACGGAGAGTCTGGTCAAAACCTAAGAACGAAAACCTGGCGAATAGGTATTAGTGATAATAAGGACTTACCATACGCTCACACCGTCGCCTCGGCGGCCTCTTCCTCTGCCACCTGGAGGTCCGCCTGGAGATAGTCCACACGGGCCTTCAGCCGGGCCATCTCACAGATAGAGTTTGAGTGCAACCGGCGAGCCTCGTCCCTTTTGAGCACGTAGCTCCATATCCCCTGTCGCTCGAAGGTAAGGGATAGGGGCGGGGCTTGCCAACCTCGAGGCCGAATGGGCGGGGATGGGTGGTGCGGAAGGACCACGGTCTCCGATGCCATTGCTGAGGAAATGATCCTGAACACACCCATAATTAAGGACGAACATAGTCAAATCCAAGAGCAACACTAAAAGGATCAAGATGCCCAAGAGGGGGGGGGGTGAATTGGGCTAATTCTAAAATTCTTTGCAATAATTAAACTCTACACTTAACCCACTTCACCCCTTGTGCCTAGAATGTGTTCCTATTGATCTACCGCTCAAAAGTTTTACACCCTAGGTTCCAATCCTACTCTAGCATGGCAATTCTAAGAATGTAAAGACAAAAAATGAATTGCTCAAATGTAAATGCTTAAAGTAAAGAGAGGAGAAGGAGCGCATAGCGATGTTTTGCCGAGTGTCGAGAGTCGCCACTCCCCACTAGTCCTCGTTGGAGCACCCGCGCAAGGGTGTAGCTCCCCCTTGATCCGCGCAAGGATCAAGTGCTCTCTATGAGCTGATTGTTCGATACTCCATCACGGTGAATCGCCCACAACCGCTCACAACTTGAGTTGGGTCATGCACAAGCTCCTTTGGATGATCACCAAACTCCCGATCACCACCAAGCCATCTAGGTGATGGCGATCACCAAGAGTAATAAGCACGAACTCTCACTTGACCACAACAAGCCTAATGAGAAGGGTGGATGCACACTTGCTACTCTCCTTGCACTAATGAGGCCTTAATCTTGGATTCTCAAATCTCAATCACCGCACTAGGCTCTTGCTCTCCTTAGCACTCTCAAGGGTGTTTCTCAGCTGAACAAA